ATGCAGAAATAACAACCTAACTCGCGAAATGGTTAAATAAAACAATATATATATTAAAATAATAACTGCATACGAGGTCGCTCGGCCTATACAACTCAAAAGAGATGCGGAAGTCTACAACTCAATCCCAAAACCCGGAAACTCATGGGAACCACATGCTAATAGAAAATACTGTACAAGCTCTAATCTCCAGAATGTCTACATCAAAAGTATGATAGAATCTAGACGCTACAAATAGAATAAGGAAGGAGACTCTTCGGTCTGCGTACGCTGCAGATATACCTCAAAGTCTCCGTAGCTCTCCTCGCCTCAAGGATAGTGCACTTGAGTGGAGGTACCTGGATCTGCACATGAAAAACATGCGCAAGAAGGGCATGAGTACGCCACAGCGGTACTCAGTAAGTGCCAAGCCTAACCTCGGTTGGGTAGTGACGAGGAAAGGTTAGGGACCTACTGAGGTAAAACATAATATATAATAGATTAAGGGAAAACAGTATAGATAAAGTCTACAGCAAGAATCTAAACAGGATAAATAAGGGAAACAGTAATAGGAAACAGAAACAAAACAATATAAGGAATACTGCTCACAACAGGAAGTAATAGCCGGGGATCTCTTGGTATCCCGAGAATCTCTTGGTATCCTCATCATATACACTAGGGATCTCTTGGTATCCTCATCATTTACACGAGGGATCTCTTGGTATCCCGAGGATCTCTTGGTATCCTCAAATCTTACATTTACATGTGCCGAGGATCTCTTGGTATCCCGCACCTCAATCCAGAACATAACAAGTACATGGGGGATCTCCCGGGATGCCGTCCCGTAGTCCCAATTTAAAACACACAATAACAGCCCAACACATTAGGATAAATGCTCAACTCAGAACAAGTAATAGAAATCCTAGCCTAACATGCTCCACGGAGTACAATAAGACAGTTTAAGCACTTAAGTAAGTAAGTCAACTAAACATGCTTCTCTAAACTAGCATAGGACAAACTTCAATTCAAATAAACAAGTAAGCAAGAAAAACTCAATTTAAATACTTCAAGTAAAAATGGATTTCCAACAATCAGCTCAAGTACGCGCTCGTCACCCCACGTACGAGGCTTTCAAATATCAAATATCATGTCCTAAGGGGAAGAGGTCCCCCACACAAGGTTAGACAAGCCACTTACCTCGAACCGGCTCAATATCACTAGAAACCACGCCCTTGCCACGAGTATCCGACTCCAAATGGCTCAAATCGATTCAGATTCAATTACACATTGTAAATAACATCGCAAACAACTGGTTTTGCTATTTAATTCGAAGCTACGACGTGAAATTAGGTAAAATGACCAAAATGCCCTTCAGGACAACGTCTCAGAATCGAATAATTTTCACATTTTCAGAACCCTCGTACTCTCACGAGTCTAACCATATAAAAATCTCCCAAATCGGAGGTCAAATGCTCACCCAAAACTCAATGGTTTAGTCTAAGAAGTTTTCTCCCATTTTGATGCCAAATTCGAAATTAGATGATGGATTAAGTTATATATTGATGGAATACAACTAAAAGGGATTAAGGAAACGTTACCTAATGATCTTCACTTCAAAACCCACTCAAAATCGCCCTCTCTCGAGCTCTCAATTGATTTTTCCAACTTTTGAACCCAACCCTCGAAATTCCCTTTTCTGAACAGGTGTTTCCGCTTCTGCGGACAAGGGACCGCTTCTGCAGTCCCGCTTATGCGGAAAAGCAACCGCTTTTGCGGTTTTCACTTAGAAGACCAGATTCCGCTTTTGTGGTACAAATCTCGCAGGTGCGAACCGCATCTGCGGTCAAACTTTCCGCACCTGCGGAAAAGCTGAGGAGTTCAAATTTTGCATCTGCGATGGGCCGGCCGCTTCTGCGGCTCCGCACCTGCGGAACCCAAACCGCAGGTGCGGTTATGATAGGTACCAGAACATCAGCAGCCCATTCAACTTCAAAACTTTCCGTCAACCACCCGAAATCATCCCGAGGCCCCCGGGACCTCAACCAAAAGCACCAATATCACCTAATACCTTATTCGAACTTGTACCAATCTTAAAAACACCTAAAACAACGCTGGAAACCCGAATTAATCAAAGATTCAAGCCTAAGAACTTCAAATTCCAACAAAACACGCTTTCGATCAAAAACCTAACCAAACTTCGTCCGAATGACCTAAAATTTTGCACACACATCCAAAATGACATGACGCATCTACTGCAACTTCCGGAATTCCAATCCGACCCTCGGATCAAAAACTCACTATCGGACCGGAAACTTCAAAAATTCAAACTTCGGCATTTCAAACCTAAATGAGCTACGAACTTCTAAAATACATTCCAAACACGCTCCCAACCCCAAAATCACCTAACGGAACCATCGAGATTCCATTCCGAGGTTGTCTTCACACTGCTCCAACTACGGACCATTGCTCAACACTTAAGCTCTCATTTAGGGACTAAGTGTCCCAAAACTCTCCGAAACCCAACACCGAACGTCCCGACAAACCAAAATAGCATAAATGAACTTAGGGGAAGCAGTTAATAGGGGATCGGGGCATTAATTCTTAAGACGACCGGTCGGGTGGTCAGATTGTGTGCCTTTCAATTTAGCCTGATCTTGTTTATATGTCTTGGCTAGAGCTGTTGTTAAACATAGCTTTTAAAACTAAGAGTTTAGCCTGTTTATTTAAATTTTATAAATATTTTGTCACATGTACGACTAAAATTGGTATCCATTTATGTAAGTAAGTTATTCGTTTAGGTCTGGTATGTTTGGGCCTGCTTTGGTACTGGAGGTTTGAAATACAATATTCGCATCTGGAGTTTGGGCCTGCTGTGTGTGCAAAGTTCTGAGCATATTGGAAGGCCCGAATGTGTTACTGGGTTATTCTATATTTGTAATTGGATTTATGCTTGTTCAATATGGTCTGTAGTAACTTGTGAAACTATATGATGGGGAAATTAGTGAAAATGGGGAACTAGATTACTTTATCTTTTATATGAATGGGTAGAGATCTTGCCTATAGGGTCTTAATTGTTTGTTTGCTCATCATGCCTCATTCTCTGGAATTATATGCACACAATGTTATCCCTTTAGAAAACATGACTTGGGTTCTGTATGATGACTTGAATGGTTAGAGAGCATGCTTATAGGAATCACGCACACAATTCGTTTCATTTGTCAAATATACTACATTTGTTTCCATGTCTACTATCCAACACTCTTAGATAACATGTTTGTAAGATGCAACGATGCAATACCTTTACCTACCTAGATACCATGACTATAGGGTCTTAACTAATTAGTCGGCTATCTCATGCTATTTTTATATTGCCATACTTGGATAACGTGCCTATAGGGATAAAGCATCATAAAACCAATTTCAATTGCCAACCATTAGAAATCCTGCCTATAGGATATTGTCAGTTGCGTCAGATGCATACTTATAAGATCAGCTTTAATAATTCAGAATTATGGGGTTGTTTTCACCACCTTATTACGCAAACAATTAGAAATCATGCCTATAGGACTTGTAATGGTCTAATTTGCCCATACGTTAGTCCAGAAACTGTAGCAGTACCTGTAAAATATTGGAATCATATAGATATCATCCCTAAAGGACTTAAGGACTTCTTAATTTTGAAATGTTCTACTGCCTAATACCATAAACCAGTCTGTGTGATTTCTTGTTTATGTGTGGAGGTTATTTGAGCCTTGCATTGCGATTATATGCAGTCCTATATGTTTTCATTGTCGCCTAGTTTTTAGCATTTTGAGCACCTGAGTTGAGTCTAGAACTACCAAATAGTGGGTCCAAGGCCTCCTGGACTATAGGCACGGGAAGGGTAGTGCACGCATAAGGTACGACTTAGAAATGAATTAGAAAGCTTTAGGTAAACAACTTTAACATAGTAATCGGGTAGCAGGAGATGATAGTCTCTGCCCGCTGAATAATATGAGCAACCCCTGCCTTAATCGGGTTGCGAAGTATTATTTATGTTGCAGGGGTGATCCTTTAGGCTAAAAAAAACTTAGGACCCCCCCCCCCCTTCTTTATGTACTTATTGTTTACACTTAGTCATTTAACATAGGCCAATGAAGTTGTATCCTTGTAGTCATTAAGATTTGTACCAATCCTCACATGTTTTAGTAAGACCCGACGACTTCTGAACTTCCCTTCTATTTATTCGATCACCTAGCTTAACTATATAATCCACATAGTCTAAAGTTCGGCCGGGACCCACAGTTGTGGACCTCGAAGAGTGCCTAATACCTTCTCTTTGAGGTAATTTAAGCCCTTACCCGATCTTTGGTGGCGTTGACTAGTCAAACAGAGTTACTTCCAAATAGGTGCCCTAACGCACCTCAAAATCGTTAGGTGGCGACTCTTCTCTTTTAATACCTCATTTCAAAGAGTTGTCACGTGTCAAAATCCGCTTTTGCGAGAAAATGGGGCGCGACACAGTTCAAGGATCAATTCCCTTGGGTTTGTAATCTCTCAAGATTCGCGTCAATCAAGAGTCAAGAAGGCCTCATGAAGTATATATACATCTGTTCCAGGTTTGAAGAAGAGATACTTTGAATGAACCATTATCACTCTTTTTGTTCTACTCCAAATAAGTATTGTATTTCTTTTTAGATTTGCTATGTAATTAGTGAGAGAAGAAAAAGAGATAAACACTGGTGAGGCATTGTATCAAGAAGGGAAAAGTGACATAGAGACTAGGATGTTGGTGTAAAGCTACATCAACCATCTTGTGCTCGAGAAACTTCAAATACTGAAAGAGATCACCCTTGCAACCCAAGGGGACTGGACGTAGGATTCAAATTGAATCCGAACCAGTATAAAAATCCTGGTGTCTTTCTTTCCTGCACTTTATTTCTGCATTATTATTATTCTTTTCTTATTTGACTAATTAGTAAACTAGTCAACTACTTAGAGTAATGAAAATAAAAATCGACAATTAACCCCCTCTTATACTTTCAAATACGTCTCACATCGATATCTAAAATTTGTAAAGTGATGACAAGGGCATCATAGTGAGGAAAAGCCAACCCGTTTGTATTCGAATTATCGAAGAAGATACTTTCTTCGAGTTTGCCATACCGTTCGCGAGTGATTGACCGTTTGAGCTTGTGGGAAGTAGTGAACTTCACGCTGTTGATGGAAGCATTGTCGCCGCGGCAGATGATCATGTGGATGGTACAAGCTGGTGAGGGCGGCTTTAGCGGTCCTTGGTCTTGTTCACGTCCTCTGAGAAAGTTGGTCCTTTCCCAGTTGCTCAGCAACTCTTTGAGGTATTCTTGTCGTAACATGTTTTTGACCTCCTGCCTTAGGGCAATGCAATCTTCGATTTTGTGCCCTCGTTCTTGATGGAACTCGTAGAGGGCGTCTGACTTTCTGGTGCTGGAATCTGACCTCATCATCTGTGGCCACTTTACCTTTTGTTTGAGCTTCTCTAAGTATAGACTATTTCTGTAGGTGACACACAAAAGTTGTGAGCGGATAATAAAGGGGTCATACCACTTTCATTCCGGCGAGTCCCTGTCCTTGGTCTAGGCGGGCCTTCTTCATGGCGGGGGAAAAGTGCAACGGTCGTTCTAACATACAGTTGATGTCATTACCTTTTAGATCGCGGAGCTACGAGATCTCTTCTAGTATCATTTCTTCGGTCTTCTCTGGGTTCAGCTTGTACCGAAGTCAATCGGTGAGTTGGTCTATTGAGGTTGTCCTCATCTGCTCGGACCTTGGCATAATATTCGTTGTGTATTTCGTCCAAAGTGGTTGGAGGGTACTTTATCATTCGACTTAGTAACTTTCTTGTCGCCCTCGAATCCGCCCAATCTGAAAGGATGCGACCACTATCCCTTCTGATACGTTCGGCAGGGTCATCCTTACTCGGTTGAACCTGGCGAGGAAGTTCCTCAATCCCTCTCCCGGAGACTGTTTAATAGCAAATATGTCGTTCACTCTTGCCTCGGCCTTCTTGGCCCCAGCTTGGGCCGTTACAAACTTGTCGGTCATCTATTCGAAAGTTTTAATGGAACGTGTAGGTAGTTGTGAATGCCATGTTAACGCTCCTCCTGTGAGCGCTTCACCAAAGTTTTTCAACAAAATGGAAGATACTTGTTCTTTGGCGAGGTCATTGCCTTTCATAGCGGTGACGTAGTGAGTCACATGATCTTCAGGGTTGGTCGTACCATCATATATCCTGACGTACAACGGATTTTTAAAGGTTTTTGGTATGGCATGTGGGGCGGCGTCATCACTATACGGCTGCTCGACGAACCGGCCGACATCTCTCTTTGACAAGAACTTAGGGGAGCCCGGTGTCTTATCGACCCTTTCTTGGTGTTCTCTCATTTAGTCCCAGAGTGCTTTGTTCTTATTCTCCATTTCCTCCATCCTTTTTAGAATGGTTGCAAGAGCGTCGTTGCCTGCACTATATACGACTTTGTGAGTAATATCTGCCGTTGGAGGAGGAGAGAGTTGGTTGTGCTACTCGTTTGTTGGTTTTATAATGCAAGTCATTGCATTTTCTATAGTCGTGTCCTGAGCAGGCTTATGAAGGACGCCTGGTTAGTGCGTCGGTTAGCCATGCCTCAAGGAGCTTTTTTACAGCTGGGAGCATCTCCTCCGCCACAGATGTGGAGGCTCCCTTACAATTTTTTGATGTTTCAGTGCGGAGAAGGCAACGCATCTCCTCTAGGGGAGGTATTAGGCATTGCGTCTCCGTCTACTGTTTCACAAAATTCATTGATGACGTTAATGAGGCTGGTTGGGAGGTCACATATTATTCTCGTCCTTTAATCCATGTTACCTGCCATATTGGGATTTGTGCACACAAAGAAATGAGATCTTGTTCTTGCTCTTTTTTTAAGTTAGTGATCCGTGTTAGCGATAGATTTAGAAGAAACTAAAAATTTAACTAGGAAATCCCCACAGATGATGCCAAATTGTTTGACCAAAAAATATAATCCTTGGTTCAAACAATTGAATTTATGAGATAAGAGGTTAAACCTAGTTATCAATAGTATTTCTAGATGTGAATTCCGAAAATGTGGTCAACGTTGGACAGATCTGGAAGAGATATTATACTGTATGCAATAATTATTCCAAATAGCATGAGCAATAATAGAGCATTTAATAACAATGAATAGTAATAAATGACATTTGAGTAAAAGGAGTGATTCACCCAATAAAAGATGAAATAGGTGGTTGTCTCTCCTGACAATTATGAGTGACAGAATCCATGAATGTTCGAATTATTCTTGGATCTAATGGAAAGTAGGGAATAATGCGGACAAGAATCTTGATGAAAAGGTCCTGCTTGTTTCTTAGTAAGATAAGAGAATATTTAGCCAAAAGTTTAATTTTACAGATGAATCTCCCGTGCCTCACTTCATTGGCCCCTCTTTTTATATATATGAGACATATTTATAACAAACCCTAATAGTATAAACTGTAGTGAATATTCGTTAGAATATTCCCTTTAATGTCTTATTTCAAAAAATAGCTGTTACAGCTTCATCAACGATGCTCGACCTCGACCATTATCGACATCTTGACCACGGCTCCTGTCGACTCTTCCGCTACGAGTATTTCTGCTTCCTGGCCCACCTCGGCAAATGCCGACTAGAGAATTCTTCCTTCAGGGTAATCTTATTTCAAATATTATCTGGCAGATTTTGACCCATACATTAGTAAGCTAGAAATTGATCCTAAAGATGTAGTTAGAATTTTCCTATAAAATGATAGGCACATCATGCTACAAGAATTAGCAAGGGTAACCTCCTCATCAAGGAACTATGAGTTATAACTGAGAGATGGTGAAATCTAACACGGTAAGTAGAAGATGTAAACTATAAGAGTGAGAGACCAATATATTATGCAAGCAGAGAGGATAAAAAAAACACAAGCCACATGCATCTAACAAGTAGATACAAGTATTAGATGTTTTGTAATTAGATGTTTATATTTACAAATCTATTTACGTGGCTACAAAATATATTATTTTGAAGGATAATAATAAGGGAGTATCTTCTTACTTTGTGTTGGGATCGAAGCTAACAGTGCAAAGCTTGATGGACAATAAATTAGAATATAATAAAGAAAAATATACTAAATTAGGCATAATAATTTAATATGATTTGGTCAATTGACCTACATATGATAAAACTAATATAAAAGGAAAAAACTATCAAGAGAAAAATCGACTCTTTGATGACTACATTGTGAAGACTTTGAGAGAAGGAACCCTCAATTTATAGAAGCGCAAAACTTCTTTTCTAGGAAAAGGATAAGGCATATGAAGGAGACTTAATCCTTTTAAGAGTATTTTTCCCTTCCTGAAAGTACAAGAGTGGGGGGGGGGGGGAGTGATTGTCGATTTTTCTTTTTGTATCCTAAGTAGTTGACTAGTTTACCAATTAGTCGACCGAAAGTAAGAGCAGAATCTAAATAAAACAGAAGTAAAAATGCAGGTATTAAAGACACCAGGATTTTTATACTTGTTCAGGTTCAATGTGAATCTTACGTCCATTTCCGTTGGGTTGGAAGGGTGTTCACTTTCAAGTTTTTGAAGTTTCTCAATACATGAGGCTTGATGTAGTTATACACCAACAACTTAGTCATTATATAACTTCTGGCTTCTTGATACAATGCGTCACCAGTGATTTCTCTCTCTTTCTTCTCTCCCTAGTTATGCAGTAGATCTAGAGTAGACTGCAATGCTTGTTTGGAGTAGGAAAAAAAAATTGATAGTGGTTCGATCAAAGTATGTTCTTTCTAGGCTAGTACAATTGTGTATTTATACTCCGTGAGGTCTTCTTTTCTTGTAAATCTTAAGAGATTGTACACCCAAGGGAGTTGATCTCATTGTAGATTGATTCTTTCCTAGAATAAGATATTGCTTCTGTTGACTTGCCTTGACTTGTGGTCTTGATTGGATTTTTCCTTTGCTGAGCAAATTTTCCCGTTATTTGAGGTATGATCCCCTGATTCCGGATTTTGATTGTAGTCCTTAGATGGAGGAATCTCCAGTGCATAGTTATGTGCCCTTCATTTCCTTTGATCAAGGTCCTTCCTATAATATCCTCATTAATCTTCTAGCAAATCCTTGATCGATTTTGCCTTTGAATTTCTACTACTCGTTCCTTTTTCGTCTCAAATATTCGATGGTTCCTTTTTATTGCTCAAGGAGTGTTGTTTCATGTAAAGGATAAGAATATGTTATTTTTTATTAGTACAACAAATATAGATCTAACAGTCTCCCTTTTTTTATGATGACAAAATACAATGTGATAACATCAGTTTACTTACCTGTTTAACAGTCGACTCTGCGTTTATTGTAGTCGACTCCCCGTCAATTTCAATTTACTATCAGATGTGTTATAGTTGACTACCCCTCAGTGTTGTAGTCGACCCCCCCCCCCCCTCAATCTTACACTGTATGATGTCCCTGTAAGTTTCTTGGAGACACTAGACAACTACAAGAAAATACATAAAACACAAAAAAAACCACCAGAATACAGGCTACGTGCCAAGGCACTTGCCTTAACCTGCTTTCTTTCTCCCCCTTTGGCATCAACAAAAAGTTAGCAATATTAGTCTAAAGTTACCTAATTCAGCATGCAATAGCAGAGTTAATTGTCTTAACAGTACAACCAATAACTGAAACACCAGTCCCAAAAGAAGCAAAAATAAATTATTTTAAACACTCATGCATCAACGGTGCAGAAAATAGGTTTATTGCATACAACCTCCTTTAGGCGTTCAAAGCTTGCATTCACTGTGACTGAGATCCCATCAATCCTGCCGTGCACCTCTTGAAAAGACTTTACCGCATTTTCTGTAGTCTTGAGAATCGGTACCCTGATCTTAGATACATCAGAGTCTGTCTCCTTTGACACTCCATGGAAATCTTCAATTGTGCTTTGCATAGAGGTTAGAAAGTCCTTGATGACAGTCAATTTTTTATTGATGGAGGCTAACTTTTCTAAGAGATCAAGATTACCTACACTGAAAGAGACATAGAGGTTTTTGCCTTTGAGTCGGAGGGAGAATTTCTGGCTTCACCATTTTTTTACCCAAGTTCCCTTTACTGCAATGTACTTCATTCTAGTGAATGCCCTGGAGTTATAAGATTTGGTGATAGTGACACTGGATAATTAGCAAGAGATATGTTGTGGGCTACTAACAGATGGGTAATGACCATACCATAGAGAAGACTCGTGGGATCATCGGCACTCTCTATCATGAAATTGATGACCCAGGAGGATAATTTGACCCTGTGTTTAGTCAAAAGACAGTAGAGCAGGAAGGTATCACGTTGGAAAAAGGTAGAGAAGATCTTGTTCTTGGGAGAAGAGTGGTTTCCACAATATGTGCTAGGACACGAGTTTCGAAACACACATTACTGGGTCCTAATTGACTGGAAAGGGAATCAGAGGGTGACTTAGCTATACACATTTTGTTTGATCAAAAGATAGAGTCAAAAAAGGCATAGTCCAGCATAATGTGTTTGCAAGAACTAAAGTTTCTAACTTGTCAGGTTTGTTAGAGTGAAGATTTGCATAAGACATTTTAACAATGGATTCGTATACCTTTGGAGGAGGCAAGCAGAGAAAGTTTTTCCACCCATGGAAGTCGAAGAGATCCTTGACTTTGCAGTTGAGACTTTCTATGACACTTAGATCAATAACTCTACTATGGGCTACATATTTGTCTTTTGAAGGCTATGAAGGCATCCCTGTTGGGTGTGTCCCAAAAATTCAGGTCTGATTTGAGAGCACTTGAGAGATAAGTTTTGGGCTCTTTGGGTGGAAGGTTCAGGGATATCTTCAATGGGTCATTTTCCTAGGGCTTTTCCGGTGAGACTACGCAATATGAGAGGTCCTGAGAGGAGGAAAAATCCTTAGACTGGATTAATCTTAGATTAACTAGTTCAGGAGATTGAGAAGAGAGCTTTGCTCGAGAACGATTGCTTTTGCGGGTTGAGGTAGAGGGGTTTTTGAAGTTTTTTTCCATTTTAGGGTTAGGAGAAGAGGATTGGGGATACAAGCAAAGTGAGAGAGTATGGTGGATAAGCTGGACTTAAAAGGATGGAAATCGACGGTTGAGTACAGACGAAAAGGCGGCAGTGATTCGACGCTATGATTGATTAATCTCCAATTGATGTGACTGAGCACAACATTGTCCAATTGCAATGTACTCAACCTCAATTGTGGAAAGAGCTATTGATCCCTATGTCTTACTGTTCCAGGAGATTAATGCCTTTCTCAGTAATTGATAACTGCCACTTGTGCTTTTTCTATCTTCCTTGTCACCTGCAAGATCAGCATCTGTAAATCCTTCAAGTTGAA